AAGAAGCTTTTGCACAGCAAAGGATACAGTCAACAAAACTCAAAGACAACCTACAGGATGGGAGAAGATATTTGCAAATGACGTATCAGATAAAGGGCTAGTTTCCAAAATCTATAAAGAACTTATGAAACTCAACACCAAAGAAACAAACAATCCAATCATGAAATGGGCAAAAGACATGAAGAGAAATCTCACAGAGGAAGACATAGACATGGCCAACATGCACATGAGAAAATGCTCTGCATCACTTGCCATCAGGGAAATACAAATCAAAACCACAATGAGATACCACCTCACACCAGTGAGAATGGGGAAAATTAACAAGGCAGGAAACCACAAATGTTGGAGAGGATGCGGAGAAAAGGGAACCCTCTTACACTGTTGGTGGGAATGTGAACTGGTGCAGCCACTCTGGAAAACTGTGTGGAGGTGCCTCAAAGAGTTAAAAATAGACCTGCCCTACGACCCAGCAATTGCACTGCTGGGGATTTACCCCAAAGATTCAGATGCAATGAAACGCCAGGACACCTGCACCCCGATGTTTCTAGCAGCCATGTCCACAATAGCCAAACTGTGGAAGGAGCCTCGGTGCCCATCGAAAGATGAATGGATAAAGAAGATGTGGTCTATGTATACAATGGAATATTCCTCAGCCATTAGAATCGACAAATACCCCCCATTTGCTTCAGCGTGGATGGACCTGGAGGGTATTATGCTGAGTGAAGTAAGTCAATCGGAGAAGGACAGTGTATGTTCTCATTCATTTGGGGAATATAAATAATAGTGAAAGGGAATAGAAGGGAAGGGAGAAGAAATATGTGGGAAATATCAGAAAGGGAGACAGAACAGAAAGACTCCTAACTCCGGGAAACGAACTAGGGGTGGTGGAAGGGGAGGAGGGCGGGGGCTGGGGGTGAATGGGTGACGGGCACTGAGGGGGACACTTGACTGGATGAGCACTGGGTGTTATTCTGTATGTTGGTAAATTGAACACCAATAAAAAATAAATTTATTATAAAAAAAAGAAAAGTAAAAGCATTAAATACTTTGATCTCCCCTTTTCTGCTTTTCAAAATGTTTCTATATCCATCCTCCATTCCTTCTTTCCTTTCCTTGGATACCCTAATCTACTGTACTCTCTACACAATGTCTGTTTCTTTTCTAGGCCTGCCCATCCTCATCAGCATCTTTACTCTCACTTGATTTCCTTCATACAAATAACTATCTTCCCTCCTTTGAAAAAGGAAATTTTCACTTGAACAACTTCTCTAGCTGCTATCATATACTCCCCTTCACTGCCACTTCCTGACATTAGCTACCAGTACTTCACCTCTCACATTCTTTAACCTAAAACCTTGGCTTCTACTAGGATCTTTTGCTAAACTTAGTGTTCTATGCCTCACCTTTATTCCTAAATACTATTAATGATATTCTCTAAGCAATCCCTCTTCCTTCAGCTCAGAAGATCTCATTATCTTGGTTCCTTCCCTACATCTACAACTCCGCTCTATACATGGGCACCTCCCAAGGTTCTGTTTTCAGTTTTCTCCCGTCACTATTCTAATCAAAAGTTAACATTTCAGAGACCTGACCTTTCATCTTAATTTCCATCACCACCTTGAATCACCTCTCTTATTCTAGAGAACGACAAACCCTGCCCAACCCAATTCACTCATGCTTACCCTCAACCTGCAAAATTACCCTGAAATTTCTGCTTCTTCCCTTAAAATCTCTTAAATTATAGATCAAAGTACATCTGCCAGCAGGCTCTTACTGTATAACTCTTACTGTGATCACTCTAGTCTAGGTCCCATAACCATCATCTAAAATATACATTCTCTCTCAACTCTTATTTCCCTGTCCCTACCAGACCCACTACAAGCTCTCATCATGTCATATCTAATACATTTGCAATAAGCTCCTATCTGGTTGCTTTGAGCAGGTGTCTCCAGCTTCCAACATTTTCTCCAGACTGCTGCTAGAGTGACAGGCTAATGTCTCTGCAAAAACATTTCAGTGACTTCCCAGGGTCCACAAAATAAAGCCTAACCTCCTTCACAAGACTCTCAAACTCCCAACTTCACCTCCCAAATATACACAGTTTATGCTCCAGGATTATCAAACAAATTTCAGTTCCCTATGCTTTGAATGCTGACTCAAGAAACAGTTCCTCACACCCTTTGCCTAGAACACCCTGCCCCAACTCTTGCACACCTGATGAGTCCTCAGGCATCTTTTCATTCCAAGCTCAACCCTCACCTCCTCTTTAAAGCTTTACATGTGTCTCCAATATAGAGTCCAAGAAGACCCCCTATGCTAACAATGAGCCTTGTTGAGACTTTTCATATATCTAACTCATCTGTCTCCTGGGAGTTTCCTTGAGGAGATGGTCTTGTCATCTTTCAAGTATTACTCCAGCATTTAACAATTGGGAACACTACCCTGCAGTAAGACACACTTTTTCACTTGCTCATTCTCTGAAGCACAGAGCCTTCTCCCAGCATGTCTCCAGGTCCCGAACAATGAGAATGTCAAGTTACCAACACTACTATAAAAAGATTACAAAACGGTATGGGAGTGTACTAGAACAGCAGAATATAATGCACCTCCTCTACTTCATTAATTCCCCAAGAGTTCTGCCTTCACTTCGACTTGAACGGAGAGGGGACTTAAACAGTTTAAATGGACCAAATATTAACTAGCCTCTGATGTGCAAACTGATTTTAAAACAGCCCTTGACCTGGAAATACAGGTGCATTCAAATATACACCCTGATAAGAAAGGACAGATTAGGGGATAGAGTTCAATGTCTCAGAGCTTGCCCAGTCAAGGGTTCCTTGTGATAAACTCTAAAAGTGCAGCAATATTTCAGTTTGAAAATGCTCACTGTTGTCTAAGGAATCTTAATAGATGGCAACATCTACTCTCAGAAGACAAAATCCAGCTGGGTATGTATTAATGAAAACCAATAGCACCGTATTTATAAATAAATACACAGTGAGGTAACCCATTCACAGATAGCTAGAGACAACAGTTCTTTTTTTTTTTTTATAAATTAATTTTTATTGGTGTTCAATTTACCAACATACAGAATAACACCCAGTGCTCATCCCGTCAAGTGTCCCCCTCCGTGCCCGTCACCCATTCACCCCCACCCCCCGCCCTCCTCCCCTTCCACCACCCCTAGTTCATTTCCCAGAGTTAGAAGTCTTTATGTTCTGAGAGACAACAGTTCTAATGAGTTAAATCAAACCACAGTAGTTTCCATTTTTAAATACATTAGGGTGTTAAGAAACTAAATTAATTCAAAAGTTATTTTATGCATGACTTCCTGAACATGTTTTCTCCGATTAAAAGCTTGTTAGCTTCTGCCGGTTAAGTAAGTCAACATGGGGAAGCCGGTATTTCCTTGATTCTGAACTATACCAGTGCTAAAACAAAACAAATCCCAACCTAATTAATTCTATTTTTGGTCTAGTTTCCAAGGCAGTCTTCACAAAGACTATTCTCAGCTCACTGTTTCTAGCTTTGTAACACCAATCTTCAGTAACTGGAAACTATTATATATTTTGTGTAATTCCTCGACACATATGTTCTATCATAGATCCTCATCTTATTCCTCCTGTTATCAAGAGTAAAAAATAAAAGGATCTGTCATCCCACTGATTCTAAAGTCTCATTCCTGAAATCACTGTTAAATCGATTATTTCATGATACCCCGTCATGTTCCTACCAGGGCTTTATAACTTGGGTACATCAAGTTCATCAACATCAAGTTGCAGGTGGAACCCTCCCCACATCAGAACTGCCAGTGAGGCTCAACAACAGTACAAACCGGAAGAAAGGGTATCAGGAAATACATTCTACTTCCAAAAGGCCACTGACTTGACCTTGGGCAATCCACTTCACTTCTGTAATTCAAACAATTCAAACGGCAGTATCTGCTCTAGAAAAGAACGCTTCTAGGAATAGTTTAAGAGCTTCGGGCTTCTAAAATACAATGGAGCTGCATAAACAGATTTTATGAAACAATCTAGTTTCCATCTAGTTTAAAAGATCAATTTCCATCTAGTTTAAAAGATCATAAAAGTGCTTTGTTTTCCCAAAATTCCTACTTGGACCACTCTATTGTGGAATAAGCTGAACCCTGACTCTTTTTCTACCCTTTAATAGAATGGGAGTTCAAAGTCTTCATGAAGGGGATCCCTGGGTGGCGCAGCGGTTTGGCGCCTGCCTTTGGCCCAGGGCGCGATCCTGGAGACCCGGGGTCGAGTCCCACGTCGGGCTCCCGGTGCATGGGGCCTGCTTCTCTCTCTGCCTCTCTCTCTGTGACTATCATAAATAAATAAAAATTAAAAAAAAAAAAGTCTTCATGAACTAGCATATCAGGTCAAAGGAAGTCCACTACAGATGGAAGAGCTGCCTCCAAAGAAGCTGGAGGATTACAACTGTGTCACGTGCATGATACTCCCGACCCTCCCCCGCGTCCCCCCCCCCGCCCCCTCCCCCCGCCAAAATCTATCATTCAGAGAAAGGGCAGAGGAAACGAGGGGGGAGCGCCATCAGCGACGCTTCCAGCGTCGGGATCCGACGACAGGTTAGGAACGAAGGCGCACGTCTTGACTCGAGCCCTCCCCAACTTTATTTCTCTGCGGCGACGACGTGCTAGGCGGCAGCTACCCGGGTGGCAGGTTCCATCCCGCGTCTAGCCTCGGCCTCGGACGCCGGGGAGGGGCAGCCGCAGGGCAAGGAGCCGAGCCGCGGTGCAGGCGAATCCTCCAGCTACGCCGGGCGGCGGCCGTGGTCCTCCCGGGCAAAGCCCCGTCTCTGGTGCCCGGTTCCCAGCCCCACCTGGGCGAGGAGGAAGCAGCGCCAGGCCGGAGGACGGCGCGGCGGGCCCCAGCCTTGCTCCCGCGCGTCCCGGCCCAAACCAGGACCCGGCCAGGGCGCAGGGCGCAGGGCGCAGGGCGCAGGTGCGCGCCCCCCGCGGCTCCACTTACTTTGTCGCTGGTGCTCTCGGTTTCGTGGTCGCCGCCGGCCGCCTCTCCCTCGCGGGGGGGCGGCGGCCCCGCTCCCCCGGGGCCCGGGCAGCCTCCGCGGTGCCTCAGCTCCAACATGCCCCGCGCGGCCGCGGCGGCCTCCGCCAGCGCCCCGAAACCCGAGCTGCTGCTCCGCACCCGCCACCCGGCAGCCGCGCCCCGACGTCGGCAGAGCCGCGGCCGCTCACACGCCCCCAGCAGGCAGGCGCCGCCGCCGCCGCCGCCGCCGCCGCGCCGGGTCACCCCCAAAACGGCATCAACGAGCGAGCGCTCGAGGCCGCCCCCAGCGAGCGCGGCGCCGGCGGAGCGGCGGGGGGCGGGGGGCGGGGGGCGAGCGCCAGGGCCCGGGCGGCTCGGGGCACCCGGCCCGAGCGGAGAAGGCGGGCACGCCGCGGGGCTCGGCCGCCGGTTGCCAGGTGCGCGCTCCTCGCAGAGGCCCAGGTGGGAGGAGAAGAAGGGGCGGGGAGCGAAGGAGGAAGCGCCGCCGCTCCAGCGCCTCACCTGGCGCCCGCCGCCCCGGCCCCGGCCCCGCCGGCCCCCCCGGCCCCCCGGCCCCGCCGGCCCCGCCGGCCCCGCCTCCCGCCTCCCGCCCCTACACCTCCGCGGGCTCCTGCCTCCCGCAGCCGGGTCACGCGCCGCAGGCCCCGCCCCGGCCCGCCCCGGCCCGCCCCTCTGCGCTGCACTGCGGTCCCCACAGCCCCGCCTCCCTCGCGGGGCGCTGACGTCACGGCCCCCGCGCCCCCCCCCCCCGCCCGCAGCCAGGTGGGAGCCGCGCCCGCTGGAGAGAGGGCGGGGGGAACCGGGAGGTGGCGGCGGGACGGGCCCCGGGCTTAGCCGAGAAGTTAAGAACTTGCAGGCTCGTCCGCGAGCAACCGAGGGGCTGGAGGAGCTCCCCGAGACGCCTGCCTGCCTGCCTGCCCGCCCGCCCGCCTGGGAACTGCTGCCGGCACCCCGCCCCCCCCCCCGCCCGGACTCCGCGGCCGCACCCCCTGCTGCACCGCGGCGTGGCGGAGCCTCAGAGGCGTCCAGGAGCAGAAACTTGTCCGGCTGGATGAACGCGTTGACTTCGCGGCATTTGAACCCAGTGTCATCACCTTGAAAATAGATGCCACGAGATGCATTTACCCGCACGGGGCGTCCTGGAGTGCACTGGCCAGTTTCAGTGACAAACCCAAGCTCTGTCTCCTAGAAACTCGAGTATTGGATCTCACAGCGTTCACTGCCTACGGTCCAAAGAGAGAACCCAGACCCCAAAATGACTCGGGGTGCATTTGCCAACCAGCTAATCTCTGAGCAGTCGGGGACCTTGGGCTGCTAAAGTTGGAACAGGAAGGGCACAAGATCCGCATTAATTCCATTCCAAATCCTGTTACAAGGTGATTAGTTTTCCTGACGTGTATCCACCACCTGGTCATTACTGACAGGGGAGGGAGAAGTGTGGGGAGACAGGCCGTCACACAAATGGAACAATGTTCAGGAAGACACCCTTAAGACAAATCAACAATACAGATTTCTCAAGGTCGTTACTAACACGTTGAAAATCAGTAAGGTCATTACTAACACATTGTTCAGAAAATTTAGTAACAATGAAACCAAAAAGTCAGAGTAGGTTGCATTAAAGACCAGAGCACAAGCACACCATTTTATTTCACCAAACAAATCTTTAAAGCTCTAGGTTCAGATTGGGTCATCACATTTGCTTTTTTTTTTTTTTTTTTTTTAAGATTTTATTTATTTATTCATGAGAGCCAGAGAAAGAGAAGCACAGACAGAAGGAAGAGAAGCAGACCCCATGCAAGGGGCCCGATGTGGGGCTCCATCCAGGGAATCGGGGATCACACCCTGAGCCCACGGCAGACGCTCAACCGCTGAGCCCCCCCGGGCGACCCAGGTCATCACATTTTCAAAAGGATGTGGGGAAATTAGATTTATGGGAAGCATAACAAAAATGATAAAAGATATGAAAAAAGTCCTTTGAGAGATGGTCATAGTGAGGTTTTCTTAAAGGAACAGAATGCTAGGGGGTGACTAGATTAATCAATTGTCCTCCATTTCTTTGAAGGCCCAGAAATGAAGGACTACCCACTTGTCAAGAACATAAGGTTGAAAAGGCTACTGAAGGCAGTAGTGAAGTTTCCATCCCTGGCTCCTTCACCCAACTCAGTGAAAAGGGGCCTAAGAAGTTCTCCACTGGTCCATTCTGGCCTTCATGGAAATTAAGAAGCCTGAGTTCCAGTCTCATTGATGTCGCTCATTGGCTTAAATTAGTCATTAAGCCTCAATGTCCCCAGCTATAACATGGATACTGAGGAGGATGGCCCCTATGGTCCCTTCCAGCTCACACATGATTCTGTAACTAAAATCTCACTTTTTCAGAACCCAGTCCTTCCTTTCCCCCATGCCTCAAGAAAGGGGGACCTACCATAGCAAAATACCTGTAAGGTTTCCTCCTTCTCTTTTCCCTAGTCAACCAAATAGCTCCTTTGGCTTTCTTCTCCTTTTGCTGCAGGAGGAAAAAAGGGTGAGAGAAGTAGCAGGAGGGAACAATAAAGGACAAAAGTGCATGGAAAAAGAAATGATACTCCCTGACCTAGGAAAAGTGAGACCTATTCAGAGACCACCAAAATAGACTGGTTTACTACTTTACCTCACCTTTCCTTAAGCTCTGCCTACTTCCTGAATTTCAGCTGAGATAGTAATTTCTTTGTCTTCTTCATTATAATTATTGCCACTTGTCGAGTGATCATACTGAGTCCAGGCAGCAAGAACCATAATTAATTCATCTTCGTAAAAAAAAAAAAAAAAATTCATCTTCGTAGGCCAAGCTGTTGCCATAGTGCTGGCCCCTACTCCCTTCTAGTGAATACGTTTGTTGAAGAAGTGAATGAAGAAATGAATGAGTGCAGCATAGTCAGGAAAGATATAGGGTATTTGTGCTTTTGCAATGGAAAGATCTCTTTTGGATTAAGGTTGGTGCTCGGGATCCCTGGGTGGCGCAGCGGTTTAGCGCCTGCCTTTGGCCCAGGGCACGATCCTGGAGACCCGGGTTCGAATCCCACGTTGGGCTCCTGGTGCATGGAGCCTGCTTCTCCCTCTGCCTGTGTCTCTGCCTCTCTCTCTCTCTCTATCATAAATAAATAAAAATTAAAAAAAAGGTAGGTGCTCACTTGTCATTCTTCAGTTATATGAAAAGAGAAAGATTGACTTTAGTATGTATTAAAAGGGGGTTCTAGTAATGACTTGCACATTTTACTTCAGATATATTATGATATATAGTCAGCCACAAATGGCCTTCCTGAGTTCTGTGTTCTCAGACTTTCTTGGTGTCTTTTTTTTTTTACTTTTTTTTTTTTTTTGGATACAATGTTACATTAGTTTCAGGTGTGCTTTTTCATTTTTATCTTTCATTTTTCTTCATTCGAGGAGCTTACTTCTTGACGTTTCTTATACTTATGTACAGTGACACAAAATCTGGCATATAATGGTTTCGAAGTCCTCACCTGTTAGTTTTATGAGAGTTTAATCTGCTAAAGGGCATCATGTGAACCACAAGTGCATGCATGGACTAATTACACAGGAGACACTTTGCCAATACTTCTTGGTTGGTTTATAGATTCTCTACTTTAGTGATATCGGGATGATTTATAACCCTCAGCAAGGGATTTGCTAGAAGGGAAAGAGGGAGAATACTAACATTATTATTTATATGGTTTTTATTTTAGTTTGATTTTACCCAAAGATGGACAGACCTTGCTTGGAGTGGTAACTGGATGAAGTGGGGAGACCTGTTATCACTGTCTTCCCTGAGAATGTTCCCAGACTGATAAACATTCTCCTCCTGTGTGGGATTTGAGCTGCTTTCCACGTCAGAGCCTCAAAGGCCCCTGACTGGAATGTCCCAGCTTGCTGGGGGAGGAAGAAATCTTCCTCAGGCAAGAGTCATTTCCGGTTGCTTGAACACCAATGTTATAGCTCTCCTCACCTGACCTATCTTTTTCTGTTGCCCCCTGTCGGTTTGTAAGTTAGTAGTAGAAATTTCTGATATAGGCCTACCAGAGAACCATTTTGTGGGAAATTCTTGAAGGATAATTTCTGTTTATGTTCTTATTTTTAATGAAATGACACAGGAAATTCATGAGGTACTACCAAGAATCAGAGGAATGAGGGTAGTGGTGTAGTTAGAAGCACAGGGCAGCCATGGGGTCCAGGCATAGCTCTGCCATCTTCCAGCTGTAACCCAGTTTAGTTTGTGAAACATCACATACGGCTGGAGCCGTATGCTTACTGACATGACCATTCAAAATTTAAGTAATAACTCTTCATGTAGCACTTCACAAAGCACTTTTATATACATTATTTATTCTATTCAACAACCAGTGAGGTAGGCAGGACAATTATTGTTATTCCCACTTTACAAGGTAAAAACATCTGAGGTTCCGTATGTAAACTGCCCGGGTTTGGGTTTTTATAGTTCAAATTCTGTTGCGCCCACTCTGTACTGCAAATAGGTCATAGCAGAAACAAATAATTTCTACGAGGGGACAACTTATTCTAACAACTAAACACAGGACCTTGGGAGTCTACCTGAGTTCAAATCCCAGGTCTGCCACATACTGGCCTGTGCTATCAGTCAAGTAACTTAACCCCCTTGTGCCTCAGTGTCCTTGTGTCTAAAATAAGAATAAGGGTAATAATATTTTCCTCCTAGAATTCTTACGAAGATGACACTGGTTAGTATATAAAAAATACTTAGAACTGTCCCTGCCCATGGTGAAGCACTACACGAGTGTTATCTGTGATTACCATTTGTGTTACTAAAAGTTGCATTTCTCAAGAACAATGTTCAACTTCTAAACTCACTGAAGCCTCAACTCCCCCAGAATACTTTGAAGCAGAAAGGATACGCCAACATTGTTTTGGTAAGGTGGATAGAAATTATAAAACAGAGTAGGGCAACTTTGCAAATAAGTGCACAGGAATCATCAGCTTATCAAATTAATTAATTTTTGCTATACCCTTCAGTGGTAGTAAAACTAATGAAATTGGCAGTCCCTATCATTAACTGGAATCCGTTCCTGCCGTGTAGCTTGTATATGGTGTGGTAACTCGCAAGTTCCTTCTTTTTCTAGCTTCTCCAATGAATCAGAATAACTCTCAGCAAATTTTATTTTGGTGATTTAATTCTCTTATAAAATAGGCAGTATATTCCCTCTGTAACTTTTTGAGTTATGTACTAAAAGAATAGATCTAGGGGTCCTTTTGATACTGCGTAGTTCAACTATTCTGTTAATGCTGAATCTGGCTGGGTTTATATCTCTTTTGGAGGTGGTCGTTTAGAGAAGTGGAAGAGATTGGTTAACTGTCCTTAGAGGGGCTGAATTACGGATTTGTTCCTAATTATATCAGTGGTCTCTGTCAACAAATTGCTGAAATCCAGAAATACCAGTCAAGGTTCTTAGTTGTAAATCAGGCTGATGTAGGCAGACAAGGAATTTACTGAAAGAAGCTCA